TGATCGATTCTCCACTCCAACGCGATACAGTTGAACCTTAAATGAGAATCTAATATGGTTGCCGTTGACACTTGACAGAGTGTGGCTGCGATCGGCGGTCAGGCTCTAGGGGTGGTCCTTGAGGTCTTACGCCCAAACTCCGCAATTTCCGCACTGACTGCGAGAGAGGCAGTATCGGCAAAGTCTAATCGTGAGGACTTTGACAAAGGAATTATTCCCACTGGCGGAACGCCGATCCTAGTCTTCTTGTGGCTAGGCTTCATTTGAGCAACCCAATCTAGCTGTCACTCAGAGTTCAGTCTGACCTGCGGGCTCTGGGCATGACAGGAAGAAGCGAAGCCAGCACCATACTCACGGCTCGCCGTAGCACTATGAGAGGCTAGCAAGAGTCTGCATTGACCTATGATCTCTCTTCAATGGTAACTTCCGGGTACTTCCACTGCCATGTGACTTTTGGCCTCTGCCTAATACGGTGTATTGGCTCCTGCAAATCCCGAAGGTAGTTATCATGTATTAGCTAGCCTGCGCTATTGCGTCAAAAGAAATATGCCAACCTACTGTACCCCAGAGACGCCTGTGATTGGTAAATTGAGATGAGTCTATTCCTTGAATTAGCTTGCCGGCCAGGGGGGTTGTAGTCTGGCATGTACAGCACGAAATTTAACCAGGCCGAGCGTAAATGCATGATCCCTGAATTGCATGGCCGTCACTGTGTTTCGGAACCCAATGACCTTGACCTGAGATTTTAGTGCAGTCGTTCGATGCTTGGAGTGCATCTATTCGCCTAGTTCCCCTCTCGACTTGGGCCCATCTTTACCCTTGCACGAAGAGGTAACCTTTCTGTTGGTCAACTATTTTTTCTGCGGCACTGATTTAAAACCACGTAAAGAAACAGAGGATGAATACGAGTGTCATATCTGTAGCTCTCCACTCATGTGTATAACAAAATAAGCATTTGCCACTGTATCGCTCGAGCCCTCATTAAATACACTGATCCTCTGCTCCATAGGCGATGGGGCTAAGGCAGCCAGACGTAAGCCTCAAACGGGAAAGACCAGAGGGAGCTGCATGGCTAGGCTCCATGCACGCATGGCAACGGAAACAGACTAGATGATAGAGCGTTGTCCGTAACAGTTAATGGTCAGACTCTGTATGTATTTGTTTTCCTTGCATTAGTTTGCACGTCATAAGTGCCAGAAGGCCGCGTTGAACATCATGACATGATCCAATGGCTGAATGTTGACCAACGTACTTTTGTCCACATCTGTAATTGCCCTTCGGTCATCAACTCCGAAGGAACTTGTTTCTTTTTCCCTCGGCATGTTATATTTGGTAGTTCCAGACCTATATAGGCCGTCGCCCGAGCCTTGAAGATCATGCACACGAAACTTCTTAAGCTGCCAACTCCCCATTGGCTTCCTTGAATGTTGATGTGAGGTGGCAGTATCTGAATTTATCTATCCATTCCATTATCATTGTCGGTAGTCGGTAAAGAGTGAGCATAGGCGACTCGGCTCGACACTGACTTCCTATAGTAGAGTATGACAAGTCCGGTCCGTGCTACCATTGCGATAGGTCAGTCCACGAAAGCTAATAAAGCCCAGCATCAGATGTTATCATATCACGATATGACTGCTCAGGCGAGCCACACGGTAAGGACAAGCTCCCCAGTCTGAACTAGGATGGATCATCCAACTGATGTCATGTCATGGTAGGACATGCAACGTGCATCATCCGCAGTCAACTTCCGTTATACGCACTTCGCTATGCTTTGCATTGACCACAATGGGGACCTTCGCATAGAAGCGTCGCCGTCCATTGCAGGCTGCGAAAAGGCAATCTTCACAGACGACGTGCAGGACCGATTTCTGAAGTCGGTGACTACAGCATGGCAGCCCAGCCTGCAGAGTCTCCATTCCAGTAAGTGATTTGGCAACTGTAAAACCGAGCCAGCCAAGGATGAAGTAGTAACCAAGACGTGTTCCTGCCCGAATCAGACACCTTGAGTCACATGAGCGGCGATGTCACGGGGAAGCCAATGCTTCTGTCCAGTCCTTCAATCGGCCTACAGCACACATGGTATCAACCAAGCCTCCCACGACAGACCGGTCTCATTCCCTGTGAATGGCAGTCCTTACAAAACAAGCGTCACAGGCGTAGCTTGAGACATGAACTCTCGGGCATCGGACTTGATTTGGATTCCGCCTCACCCACACCGTCGCTAAGGCGCACAGCACTTCGCCTAGGGCAAACAGATCTTGTGCGACGATACTATGAGAAGGCATTCGAAGCGTTTCAACAGCTAAACTGCAGGGTTATCGCCAAGGCATTTGTGAAATTGGTGGAACCGCGCAAGCAGGTCAACCACCCATACAATGGACGACGGGCTGCCGGAGGATCATCACAGAAGATGGATTCTGAATTGACTAAGCCGAAATGGTGGCCTACAGGGGTGACACACAAAGAGCCCGACCATCTTCAAAAGGCCGGTAAGATGCTCCTAGCTTCCATCGGGTTGAATCGTGAGAGCTGAATACTTACTGGTATCATCTCTCTCTTCAGAGAGAATCAGGCTGCTTGTTCATATTCTGTGTGAACTAAAGGAGAGTCGAGGAATCACCGCTGAGAAGCTCAAGGATGCTGGACAAGACGTGCGGCGCCAGATTCAGCCCGAGAGCCGTCTACAAGTTCTTGATGAGATATACTACGTTCGTTATATGGAAGAATTGTACATGGAGGGCAAAATTAGTACGCATTCGCTTCCATACCTTAGGGGACTGAAAGCCACACCCCAACACCAAGCGACTAACACTTTCTATAGGCGGGGACACAATGATCTACGTTTCTCATGTCCATCTGGATGAGGACTTCTTGTTCGCTGAATTACGGGACCAGACAACTAACAACTCTCGTGAACTGTCACTCCCGATTATGAACAACAAGCCAGATGCCCCCAAAGCGACGGAGGGAAGCAAGAGTCCTGGGGACCAGAGTGAGGTGCAAGCCGCCACGGACAAATCGCACACTGACATGCCTGTACCCTCCGACGAGCGGCGCCTGCCACCAATGGAGGTGAATCACCAAACAAAACGCTCCGCCAATCAGGACTACTGCTACCCTCCTTCGCCGGTATCCAGCCCCTCCATCAGTCGGAAGAGCTCCTTGGAAAGCGGCTTGTCTACATACTCAACAGACATGGCTGCACCAATGCTGTCAGGGAGTGAACCCAGCGGGGGGTCCTGTGCTTCTAGGGATATCCATCCCACCGAGGCTTCATGCATGCCGGATTATTTTGGTAGCCAGCAAATGGCCACTTCATCTGCTGAACAAAGTCATCAGCCTGGATTTTGGAGCCTCCCACCGGCCCATACGGCACTACCATATAACGGATACTGATGTGGCAAATCACTGAAAGACGCACGGCGGGGACCCTTTCCAAATGACGCTCTGTATATACTGAATGGTCTTAGCCATCCCGAGATCTGGATCACCCCTCCATTTGCGCTTGCATAATTTCCTATGTATAACAATATTTTTGGGGGGTCTCATGTTTGAGGAAGTGACTGTACTCAGAATACGTGGAGTTCAGCGGCACTGTGGCTGGCGCAAGTGGCGGATACATACTATTTGTGATATAGACAACTTTCTGTATTATTTCATTTTCTGGACAAGGTGCAAAACAGCGAGGAAAGGTGGTCATCAATCATTTACTGACAGTCATTATTATTCGTTGCATATAGGAGAACCAAGACAATTTGATAAGGGGAGATATCATAGGCCATCTATTCTTGATTTGTGTTGGGTCGCTGCAATTACTACTGAGTGATCTATCCCGCACGAAGCGGGGTAGTACAGCACCTGCCAGGTGTTCAAGGGGCCGCGAGAGTTAGCTGCTATAACTAATTGCACGACCGGTTCTTAGTCTTTTGAATATGTATGGCGCCAGACAAGTCCCTGATGATTAGCTCAGGAATCGAGTCAGTATCGCCATGTCCACAGCTATATAGACTAGTAGCCAATGATGCGAGACATGGCAGGGTCTGTTAGGTACCTTACTCCCTGCTTTATGCCTACGCCGAAAGCAGTAATAATTTCCAGGGGACAGGAACATCTCGAAAGAGCGTATCAGGCCTTCGCCACTACTATAGAGTAGTACTGCAGACAAGCCAGAATCCGGGTTCAGGTGCCGACAGGAACGAGTTCCCAGCAATCATAGTTGCAGTAGAGCTTAAATGTCCAGAAACAAAGACACGCATCTACTTGAATGTCTAGTCGATCATAGATCGAGCACAGACAATCAAGCTAACTACTCAGAGACTTCTTAGCACACAAAGGAGTAAGTAGTAATGAGTGTGTACACAGTAAAATGCGAGGAGAGCGAGATGTCCGAGAGACGGGACCCTTGAAGACGCCCCAGAAAACATGGCAACCGCCTCAGGCATGGAATCTACTATAAGCCTCGCAACGGGACAAATGAACCATGGGATCCAATGGGGGCAAATCATGTGGAGAGTATAACAATTTTCTATTGGCTGCAGCACTCCGCAGGTGGGTCAGGATAGATGATCGCCGGTCTGGAACGGCAAAGTCGCGACAAGTCAGCAGCAGCCAACCACAAGCTCCAACGCGTGCACACGGAGAACCTCATCCTTCCAACTTGCTCTCAACTTCCTGCATCTTTCCTTCTGCTCCCCGACTTCTACGGTCATGCGCTCTGAGCGTTGAAGCACACTGGTTGCGCCTTATCATCCCAGAAACTCAGTCATCCGAATTCTATCCTCTGGTTCGAATACAGTATACCTCGCCGCTTTTGTTTGTAAGTCATCCACGGATTCGTCCACCATGCCTTAGATTGATAAGGAATCCGCATCCGTTTCGGATCACTTCCTGCTCTGTCTTCCTTATCCCATCACTCGCCCCTTGATCTACCCTACCTTTCTGCCCGGCTGCAACACCGGTCCTTCTTAGTCCAAGCTTGGCTATAATCTACTCTAATCAACATGGGGATGCTAACTATAGGACGCTTCCTCAGCCGGCCTTATCCACACTCCCGTGACGGTCCCACGATATTTTCCTTTCAGCAGAGGCTCATCATGGAAGACGGTGGTTTCTCTGATGCTAGGAAGCCAGAGTCAGTGGCTAGCAGTAGCTCGCCTGCTTTGCATCCCACCACGGACTACGATCTCTCTGAAACGGAAGAGACGCTAAACTCGCCTGATACGTTCTACTCGCCGCCCGCGTCACCTGGGCGTCTGTCGCGCAACCCGTCCTTTTCCTACCATGATGACTGGGAGACATTTCCGCCTCTAGACCAACTGTCGGTGTTCGACCTGCTTGATAACCTCTCTCTGTCACAAAGGCTGGAAAGGCTGCAGCGAGCACTCAACGCGCAAAAGGACAAAGTAAAGAGACAACGCGAGAAGCTCAAGTCTACTTCGATTAACGCGAAGGAACGTGTTGTGGGCGAATGGAAGAGACGGGTCCCAACAGCCGATGAGCAGCTAGACAAGTACCGCCGTCGCATGAAAGATGGCGTGGAACGCTTGGGGAAACAATGGAATGCGACGGCTACTGTGACACTACGTGAGAAGATCTCTTTCATCGCTGGTGTTATGAACATCCTCGTGAGCGGCTACCTCCTTGGAGGGTTCCCAGAGTACTTCTACATCTGGTTCAGCGTGCAGCTGGCCTACTTCATGCCAATCAGATACTACCGGTATCACAAAAAGGGCTACCACTATTTCTTGGCTGACCTATGCTACTTTGTCAATGTGCTCTGTATGCTCAGCCTCTGGGTTTTCCCTGGCTCAAAGAGGCTGTTTATCAGCACCTTTTGCCTAGTATTCGGCAACAACGCCGTTGCGATTGCCATGTGGCGCAACTCGATGGTTTTCCACAGTATGGACAAGGTGGTCAGGTAAGCTTCGCTATGATGCCATTCTGAACAACCATTGACTTGAGGGTAGTCTGTTTATCCACATCATGCCACCCGTTTCCTTGCATTGTCTCGTCCATATGACGTCAGCGGAGACGCTGCGAGAACGATTCCCGGCGATCTACGAGATCAAGTTCAGTGAACCGGGTTCGCCCAATCATTTCAACCTCCTGGAAATGATGGGATGGGCAACAGTGCCTTACGTTATTTGGCAGCTGACGTACCACTGTTTTATTACTGTTCGCCGTGCCGAGAAGATTGCTGCAGGACGTCCGACCAGCTTCACTTGGCTCCGCAAGTCGTATGCCAAGACCTGGATCGGCAAAGTTGTCCTGAGCCTCCCCGAATCTCTCCAGGCTCCGGCTTTTATGCTGATTCAGTACTTGTATGCGATATTGACCATGGTCCCCTGCCCTCTGTGGTTTTGGTCTCGGTGGGCGAGTGGTTTTTTCCTCACTGGTCTTTTCATTCTCAGCGTTCACAACGGCGCGACATACTATATCGACGTCTTCGGCAAGCGCTTCCAGAAGGAATTGGAAGAGCTGAAGAAGGATGTTGCTCGCTGGCAATCGTCCCCGGAAGGGGTCTCCAGCCCAACGCTTCTGTCGTCTGACAATGCTGCGACAGTCGGGGCCAAGGGTCTCGAGGAATCGGCCAGTGGCGGATCCGACAAAGTCGGCGTTGATCAGATCCCTCTTCTTGATGCGCAATCGACAGGTGTAGAGAGCGGCCATGCTGCCGACAATTCTGGGGTCCGGGAAAGGTCTTGAGACGATTGTTACATGAAGCTCCTCACATAATGCTCCCTTTGCTTCGTTCATGAGTCTTGATTCTTGCCTATAGCTTTGACTTGTGGATCCGACCAGATCGGAACCGTTTCTCGTTGATACCCAACTTCATCTTTTATCATTCCTTTTACTGTCTGGCCTGTCCTGTGCTGCATTTTCTGCTTTTTGTTTATGACAGTATATGATTGATTCTTAGACTTGCGTGATGATGTGATGTGGTCCGTAATTACGAGATGCTCTTTACAAGCGAAGTAATGACATGAATATGTGGATAGTCAGCTAGTGGGTTAGTCCATCCTTGGGGAAATGAACTGAGTCACGATGGGGGGTGAAATCGGGAGTCGAAGCTTCCAGTAGCGAAGCCGGCCGGACTCGCATTTTGCGTTCGGCGGCGATCAAACCTTAAGTCCGACGTCGCCGCGGTCACGTGTGTAGCCACCTCTGCTCCAGACTCTCCGGGGACGAACGACACTACGCCAGCACCTCGTCTTACTTTTGTGATTTCCGATTTCTTTCATATCTTTCTCCTCAGTGTGTCACATTTGAAGTCACGTCCCGCATTTGGCTCCGTATTGTTGTGCATCCGTCTGCATTCGCTCGATCTTCCGAGCATTTCGATCCCCTAGGTTTCCGCAATGTCCGTTACAATGAGGTCAGCTAGCCTTGTGCGCGGCAATGCAGTATTGCGGCCTAATTTGATCGGTAAGTTGAACTGAAATCTCTTGTCTATACGAGGCCCAAAAGGGCTTCGACTTTGACTGCTTGATCGCTAACTCAGTGTTCGCATGCAGCCCGGCAACGACTTTCCGGTGCCTTGGCTGCGTCGACGGCCGCAAACCTCCGATTCAACGGCAGAGGTCTGCCATCTCAACTGTCGGCAATCGCCCTTCTAGTCCCTCAGCAGCGCGGATATGCCACCGATCCGTCGACCTCTTCCACCTCTTCCTCAAACTCGTTCCCCCCTCCGGGCTTCAACGCAGAGCAGGCCAAGAAGCCCCTCCCCCCGGACAACGTGCAGCCATCCAAAGATGTCCAGAAGGTCGCACCAAGCTCTGGACAGTCTATTTCTTCTCAAATCGCTGCACAGAACAATGGAAAGTCAGCTGAGCTGACAACGGCGAAGACCGCGGATGTTGATGGCAAGAAGGAGGAGAAGAAGGAGACGAAGAAACTGACAATCGGACAAAAGATCAAGAAGGAAGCCCAGCACTACTGGGATGGTACTAAGCTTCTTGCTACGGAAGTCAGAATTAGTTCTAGATTGGCATTGAAGATGGCTGCTGGCTATGAACTCAGTCGCAGAGAGCACCGTCAGGTTAGTACAGCCCGCATGGGATACGCTGCATTGATCGCCGCTAATGATTATTTGTGTGTAGCTCCAAAGAACCGTCAAGGATCTGGGTCGCCTTGTGCCTTTCTCCATGTTTGTTATCATTCCCTTCGCGGAACTGCTGCTTCCTATTGCCCTGAAGCTGTTCCCGAACATGCTGCCTAGCACCTACGAGGGCCAGAAGGCGCGCGAGAAGAAGGCGCTAAGCCTGAGCTCCACACGTAAGGAGGTTTCGGGTTTCCTGAAAGACACACTGAAGGAGTCTGGTCTCCCGGTCACTGCTGCGACCGTCAAGAATGAAGAGTTTGCCGAGTTTTTCAAGAAGATCCGCACCACGGGAGAATCGCCCACTCCCGCCGACGTGATCAAGGTGTGCAAGATTTTCAAGGATGACCTGACTCTCGACAACCTGTCTCGGCCTCAGCTGGTGGGTATCTGCAAGTACATGAACCTCAACACCTTTGGAACGGACGCCATGCTCCGCTACAACATCCGCCACCGTATGCGCCAGATCAAGCGTGACGACCGCGCTATCTTCCACGAAGGTGTGGAATCTCTGTCTGTCCCTGAACTGCAGATGGCATGCGCCTCCCGTGGTATCCGCACGCACGGTGTGTCTCCCGCTCGCCTGCGCGAGGACATGTCGATGTGGCTGGACCTGCGTCTTAAGCAGGGCGTCCCCTCCACCCTTCTTGTGCTGAGCAACGCATACGTCTACGCCCAGGGTGGTAAGGAAGCCGAGATGTCGTCCCAGATTGAGGCTCTCCAGTCCGTTCTGTCCAGCATCCCCGAGGAGCTGTTCCACGAAATCGAGCTCGAGGTTCACAATGCCGAGGGCGCTGCCACCAACAAGCAGCGTCTGGAGGTCATCAGAGAGCAGCAAGAGCTGATCGAGGAGGAGAACGAGCAGAACAGCGAGAACGAGGAGAAGGGCGTGTCTGCTCCTAAGGACATTGAGGATATCGATGACAAGGAAGACGTCAAGTACGAAGCCAAGTACAAGACGCAAGCGGGTGAGGCCAGCGAAGCCGTCCAGGAGGGCGAGAAAGCCGAGCAGGCACAACAGTCTACCCAGGCTAAGGAAGAGAAGAAATAATCGCAACCTGCCTCTCTCTTTTTGCTTCGACAGGGCGTTTATACCGCGTTGATGAACCTGACATAGATCTCTTTACTCCTCCTGATCCCTACCCCTATACTCTCTACTTTCTCTCCCTTTCTTTTTCTTCCCATGTGTTATTGTGTATACGATAGACTCTGTTCGCTTGTTTGTTTATTTATTCGTTTCATTTCTTGTTCTGATTTCTGGGATCCGTGGTTGGACACCATCGAATTTGGGTCTCTTATATCCTTTTAAACCAGGCTTCTTTCTTTGTGACCTACCGACACTGAAATAGATACTTACTTAGTCGACTTGGACGGTTGATCTGGACAAAAATATGACGTGGATATTAATTGATAGTACTATAATCTATACCAAAATATACCTACCGAATAACTTCGTATTGCTCAAGACATCGGGTAATTAACGTTGCAGTCAGCGGCTCCTCCGTCAAGTACCTCGGCAACAACCCCGATAACTTTATCAAGTGACTTAGTTACTCCCTCCGTACCTCCACCAAAATCAACTAAACTATCAGTCCTGCATCAACACATGGCCAAGTAACGAGCTAGCCAATCGATAGATAAATCAACTAAACCCTTACATTCTTAACCTTGTTTTCTTCTGTCTCCTGCAATGCGAAATCCTCTTCTCCTCCACCATCATCACCATCGTATACTGCACCGCCAACTCTATTCTTCCTCACGGATCATTCTCCCTCGCACCTTCAGCACCCAAAGTCACTTCTGCACCTCTCCCAACGTCGCAGATCCCACGACCATGCCCCCTTTAAACCTAACTTCACAGGTACATCATCCTACATTCCACGTTTCTATAATATACCTCCCTCCTCTCATCTACATAACACACCCCTCCCCCAAAACCAAATGACGTAACATCAACTCAATCCATCAATAACCAACCAACCAAAATAACCCAATCACTCTGTAAGCAAGCAAAATACTAAGTACTTAACTAACAATGAATGTAAACTGCAGAAAGCCATCGCCCGATTAAGAAACTACACTCCCCCGCCAACAACTTATACCTCGGTCCCGTTGTCACGCCGCGCCGCGGTACTGGTGCTGCTGTATGCGGACCAGAGAGGGGACTTGAGGGTTGTATTGACGATGAGGGCGGCGACGTTGAGGTCTTGTATGTATATCTGCACACCTCTTTCCACTAGTAGTCGCTTGATTTGGTGTTGTAGGTGGAGCAGTGTGGCTAACTGTGATATGACAGATGCTGGACAGGCTGCTTTACCGGGTGGTAAGTCGTCTCTCATTCTCTTATCTATTCTCAAACGGCACAGCCATCTCTCTAAGGAGTTGTTATGTGTGCTACGTACGACGATAGATATCGTCCTATGATCTACCGTAGCAACACGCTATATACTATATGCTACATCACACTGATATCAAACCCGAACTAAACCAAAAACACAGGCCGCGCCGACTCCCTATCAGAAACGCCTATCCAAACAGCCCGCCGCGAAGCTAAAGAAGAGATCGGCCTCCCCGAACACGACGAGCACCTACCTCGGCCCTTCACGGTCGAGCATCTCTGTGAGTTCCCAGCCAACCTAGCGCGAACGGAACTAGTCGTTCGACCATGTGTGGCGCTGCTGCATTCATTTGATGAGCGGACGGGCGAGAATGCCGATCCTGAAGTCTCGCTGATCCCGAGGCTGGATGCCCGCGAAGTCGCGGCGGTGTTTACGGCGCCGTTTCGCAATTTCTTGCGCTGTAGGGATATGGAGGATTGGGGTGACGGGGATCCGACGGAGTGGTATGAGGGGGCTTGGACGGAGTGGCATCAAGAGAACTGGAGAAGTGAGTATTATTTCTTCTTTTGGTTGTTTGTTTGCTTGCTTGCTTTCTTGTTTGTTGCGCGTCTTGTGGTGGCTGACTAGGAGCAGTGCATCAATTCTTCGTCCCTGTCCGGCCTAAAGAAGTGGTTAAACCGAAACCAAGGACGGAGGAACAGAAAGAAGCGGTAAGTCAGTTGGAGGAGCAGGAGAAGGCCTCACAGGTTACTCGGTACCGGGTGTTTGGGATGACGGCGCGGATGTTGGTTGATGTGGCACGGGTTGCGTATGCCGAAGAGCCGGAATTTGAGCACAATAGTCACTTTGGGGATGAGGCAATCATTGAGAAGTTAAGGAAGATGGGACGGTTAAGTCCGATTCGGAGGACAGGGGATCAGTTGACTAGGCGGGATATGGAGATGGCGGCTAAACTTAGTTGATACTTACAGTACTTATTGGATCTGCTATGTTGATAGCCTTATTTAGAGACCATTCATATGTTTATATTTGAGCGAGCTCTATGAACCAAAGCAAAGACAAGGAGAATAGATGGTTCTTACAACACCCGTAGAACATCACCACGCGAGCCCAGCATCAGTAGCCTTAACCATAACCATAGTATTATCAGCACACAGCCCCTGAAACACATTCATTCACTCACTCACTCACCTCACACACCCAAACGAGACATCTATCCCCTTATCTCCCCTCCCAATCTGCCTGCCCATGACCACCCCATCCACCTTCTGCAAATACCCGTTGAACAGCACTAACCAATGCATAGGTATTTGAATTTACAACCACCGTGATGACATCCCACGCACACATACACACACGCATGCATATCATGCATTTGCATCCAATTTCCTATCGGTTAAAACCGCTCTGCAGTTAGTTATTATTTCCCCATGTTCTGATTGATACTAGTTATTTCCGGACGCAACATTTCGTAAGATTTTATTTGTTGGTTACACAAACGATGAATACGGGTACGGAGGGATTTGTCATTGTGGACATAGCGTGTGCAGGGTGGTGGTGAGTGGTGGTGAGTGGCTGAGGGGATGATGGGTTGGCGGATTTTGATTTGGGCTACTTGGTGGTATTTGGTGGATGTATGTGTGATTACTTATGGGAGGGAGGGAGTACTTAGGTGCTGTTGAGGGGGGTAAATTGGTAGACGAGATTGTGTCTGGTGAGATATGTTTGGTGAGGGTATGGTTTGACATGAGGAGTATATTTGGTTGGGGGTTTGATGTGTCGGTGTAGGTAGATGTATTGAGAGGAGGTAGGCGTAGTGTCAAGTGGAGATTGATTGTGATTTGGTCAGTAGAGGTCGTGTTCTGCTCATGGTTCGTGGTTATTGTACTAATCTGGATACGATGGCATTGGTACACCTGGAAAGAAGACTTGTAAGTGGTGGCTTTTCCATTGAGATACAAGATTGATGGAATGTGAAGTAGTAGATGCCAGCACTCAGAGGAGGTGAAGTTTCATGTTTGCTGGGGCTATCGCTGCACGTGGTCAGGTCTGTTCACTCATGGGATCAGCTCGATTGGCTTTGATACTGCAGCTCGCATTCTTCGTCCAAGCATGATGGCCATCAGCACGGGTCTGGTGGCGGCTCAAGCAGTGCCAGGCGATTAATGTGTACTACAAAGCTGGACCACTACAGCCAATGCCAGATCATTCTCACAAGCAGCCGCTTGGTATTACGGTGAGGGTGTCATCTCAGCCTGATTTCAATCGTGACCGACCCCAAAGTAATGCAGCAACTATCTATATTTGCAATACTGGCTCAACCTCATTGGACTCGCGGGCCGTGTGGCATGCCCGTGTTGACCATGATGAAATGTCACTCTAAACTCACTTTGATTTCCGATACTCACTTGCCGCCAGCCACTCGAGTCTTCGGAAAGTCTACTAGTGGGGAATGTCTCTGGAGGGTGTATTAGGGTTAGGAATGCCATGCTTGCCAAACCTTGTCTGCTCGCCTAACGCGGATGAGAGTAAGACACCCCGTACGAGGATGCTGGCGTCATTAATCTCTCATTGTTAGTGGTGGAGATTGACACTTGAGTTAGCTTTGCCAACGGTGCTAGTCTCAGGAAATCAAATCTAGACTTCCGTATTCCCGAGAACGGGCAATTCGCGAAACCTGCGATATCGCAGGTTGAATGATGAGGCCGTCAGCTAACTAATGACACTGATTGGCTTGCATTGCCTGCAGCAGCATGGCTTGGCTGCCATGGGACCAGCCTCAACCCGACAGTGATCTGAAACGGGTCGGGTATGCCCGTGAGTGGAATGCTGGGCCGCTATCTTGAATGCTGGCGGTGGGTAGTCTGGCCGTAGAGGCCCCACTCCGGCTCTAAGCTTGAACGATTCCAGAAGACTTGCATATTGGTGCATTCTCTCTTGCCTCATCATGAGCTCATGCTTATTGCTGGAGTGGATCGATCGAATGAGTTGTCGTCTCAGTGGAACTGATGAGATAGCAGATTCAGCGCGTACCGCGACAGCCAGCCTCTAGCCACCCCCACCGTCTATTCTGCTCAGCTCCCCTCAGGCTCAGCTGCACCACGATTCGATGATGTCCGAACTATGCCCGCCCGGGTCCGTTGCATCATTCAGCTGCCCAATCTCTTTGTCGCGACGGACGAATGTGGAGCTGCTGTTTTGGCATTCTCTGAGCTATCTCCGGTCGAATGGGGGGCCATCAGGATAGTTGCCTGGACTCCGATGGGGCCCTCTGGCGTGACCACGCAGCAGTATCCCGAGCGGAGGGAACGAACAGTGGAGGATGGGAGGAACGAGGCGTATCGCGGCGTGGACTGTGAGACGCTGGGGATGACCTATCCAAAGAATGCTGAGAGCGAGACCGGCCTGGAGCACGTGTCCTGACTGGATGGACCTGTCATAGAGAAATGAGTTCTACTTTGCCTCATCGGCAGTGATTTCCCTGCTGGAAAGTAGGGTGGCTGAGGCTAGGGGAATGTTCTAGGAAATCCCAGGCGTCATTCGTCGGTTGGTTGCCGTCAATCTGCCCAGATGAGAGGAGGTAGATACCGACACTGATCATTCTGGCCTGTGGTGAAGCCAGAAGAATGTCATGCTGGATAAACTATCTGTGTTACCTGTCATATAGGAGAGTATATGTACCTTTCAAACTAAGGGGAAGAAAAAGAAAAGAAAAGAAAGAAGCAGGGATAAGCAACGAAGAAGAGAAGCAGCTAGGGGAGTAAGTCAACGCGACTAAGGAAACTAGGTCACGCTAAGCGTGCAGAGAAGAGGGACAGAAGCAAGAGGGAAGAGGGTCTGTCAAAGGCGATCTCCATACCGCAATATGATCTATCTTGTGTGATTCCCTACAGTGAGTATGTGTGTCACTTTTCTATGCAGACTTTTCTTTTTCCCGTCTCTTTTCTTTTGTCTTTTTAGTTGACAAAAGACTAGGGGACATGCTGAATAGTTAAGCCACCATTGCGGAATTAAGTTCAATTGAGTGCAGGGATAAAAGAGTAAGCAACGTGAAATGCCAAAAGTTAGTTGGGTAGGTAGATAGCAGAAAATGAGAAAGTAAAAAGAAAAAGAGTAAGAAAGAGTGTGTGAGCTGAAAGGCTGAAGGATGAAGGCTGTGGAGGAGGGCAACCAGGGATAAGCGGCGTCCAGGTTTCTTTGTTTGACTGGCAACGACCAGCGCGACTAGTAGTTTAGTTGGTTTAGCTGAGTCGATTAGTGTTGATCCAACTAAAGAATCACTAAGAATAAACCCGCCATGCCATGAACCATTCAGATCCCATTTCTGACGGAAGGAAAGGATCGACTTCCGGGGTTCAGCAATCAGCAATCCAGCAATCAGCAAGCAAGTAAGCTGGGATCACTCGGCGACTCCAGAATTGTTGGTTATTGCGCTTCGTATTCTTCCCCGGCCCTAACCCGATCTTTCCCCCATTCATCAAATGTCTGGACCTTCCCACGTCTATCTTTCTCTCAGCCTCTGTGTCAATGTGTTCTTCCTAACTTCCAAATCATACAATCAATATTCTATCTAGAGCCAGAACCAGAATTTCCGGTAATTGTAGACGAAAATTGAACGGAAATCACCCTAATGGCGCGCCCCTCAGCAAGCCCACCCACATACCATCCACACCCACCATCCACACCCCCCGGTCCATCCCTTGCATGAGGGTGTCACTCTCATGAGGCTATTCCCGCCCATGATGATGACCACGACGATCCCATCCTGCAGTTCGGCCAGGAACTGCCCTTGAGATATGTCGCTTTTATTTTTGCTTTTTAAATATTTATTTTATTTTTTTTTCTTTCTCATGGATTTTCCCAAAATTCTACATGGACTCCGCCCCGAACTCCTTGGGATCTAGGGATGAACGGCCGGACCAGCCAGACGGAGCTTGACGAGCTGCATATGGTGACCCTCCCTGATGGATCCCATCACATCCATCCGCTGCTGAGTTTCTTGTCGTCGGCCTCGTTCTCCTCTTCTTCCTTCTTCCTCTAATGATTATTATTATTAAACCCATCTCCCTTTAAACTCCATCCTATCGTCTCCCTTCTCTCTCCCCTTCTTCTTCTCCCTTCCTCCCTTCTTCGTTCATCTTCATTCCTTTCTTTTTTCTCTTTCCCCTCGTTCTCTTCTTGTTGAACCATGGTCCCGGCGGGTTCTTTATCTCTACACTGCCGGATAAAGACACTGGCCACAGGCTGACTGACTGACTTGCACGGGTGACGGTCGTGTGATTGTTTGCTTGCCCTGCTTGCTGGCCTGTCATCCTGGACGCCAAAAAAAGGTTAAAATCGCATCAAGACCGGCGACTGGCGAGCAAAGTCAAAAAAGCAACGACGCTGGCCGTATTCGGGTCACAATTTTGGTACTTCGCCTACGGAGAACATCCCAATCGGGCCCATTTCCCTCCCGGCTGGTGCCTCTCGCTGGTTATCTTTCTCTTCTTCGGCTTCTTTCTCTTCACTCCTTCTGCTTCTTGGTTCTGCTTGTCTTTCCCTTGCCACGTTTTTCTCTGTTCTTTCCCCCCATCCTTCCGGAGGGGGAAAGGTCTTTTGAGACATCCCTTCCCCTCCCTTCGTGCCAACTCTATAAACTATCTCCTGGCACTGCCAACGATATACTTCCCAGTTCCTGGCCCGAGCCACGGGAATATTACTCCCCACTCCCAACCACCCCTCCCTCTCCATCTAGCACAACAGCATCATGCTTTCTCCGTCCTCGTTGGCACTTCCTAGACAGGCACCTCCAGTGAGGCCCTCTCGGTCCTTGGAGGGACTAGAGCAAGTCGTCCCTCCTCGAGTGCCAGTGCCCCCTGCTCGCCCGGCACTGCGACATATTGATAAGCCGCTCCCTGAGCTGCCTCCCAAGCCACTGCCTGAGACCCCGTCGATGGATGAGGGCTCCACTGCATGGAGTGATGACAGTAGTACCATCTCCAGCTTCTACGATGACAGCCGACGCTTTTCGGCGGATTCGTCCGAGAGTTACCCTGTTTTTGTCCGCTCTGGTTCGGACGATCTGTCCGAGCTTGTCGATCATCCACCCACTACCGGGCCCATCGACCCGTACCAGCATGACGACCGTCACCAGCACCACAATGACCATCCAAAGTCCGCACCTTTCGCCATCACCACTACTTTCCTCCACGATGACCACTCCGACCGAGCCCAACCCTGGGTCGCTAACCGGGCTGGCCCCAACCATTACTTCCGGGAGAAGAAATGGGACTTTTTCCCTGAGCTGGCTACTCCGTCGGCTCTCCCGACATCCCCGCGTTTTCCCACTCACCCCCGCAAAAAGAACGGCAGTAAACTGAACCTCACCGTGTTCGACTTCGCCAGCCGCAACCGTTGGAACTCATCCGATCGAAGTGGACGCGCCCTCGCTCAGGACGTGCGCAATTCCATTCGTTCCTATGTGCAACGGCGCTTGTCGAAAAATTCCCTGGAACGAAACAAGAGTAATCGATCCTCACCCCCCACAGCAGGTTCAGTGGATTCTGTGCGCACCCCCACGCCATCGAGCAAGATCACCACAACCGACGAATATTATCATCCTGGAAGTCCAAGGTCTCCTCTGAGCCCAGTGGATGTCTCCCCCTCGAATAAACGCCTATCGCGCATGTCCACTCGCTCAACCATGGGTGCGCGCGGCCCGCACCCGCGGCCTCTGGCGTCCCCACGGAAGAAGCAGCTGGCAGTGCCGATGTCGCCGTATCAGAAGTACGGGGCGGCGATCTGGGAGAAGCCAGGTCGCGAGAAGCGCATCAGTTACCGACAGAGCCCCAATGTTCGGTTTCCTCGCTATCGGAAACGACGCTCGTCAAAGAAGGGCTTTGTGTCCTCCGCAACGCCACCCCTGACGCCACCCGCCCGGTCCCAACTCCAGCAGAACACTCGAGACTGCGTCCGAGCCATTCAAGACGGCACCCATCATATCCTCGACGCCCTTGACGGCGCGCGGAAGAAGATGATCGGAGTGCGAGGCGATCGACGGCACACAGAGCTGAAATCACAAATCCGACTAGTCGGACCAGTCAGTCCATACAATAACAATTACGGACAGACCGATCCATGGATTTAGAACGAAGAGCTCACTATCTCTCCTCTCAGACTTTCCTTTCTCGTTCCGTCTTCTTTCCTTTCTATGTTTATGATATCCCATTCGCTTCATTGTCCATGTTATCCAATTAGCCTGTCCTTATTTCCGGTCACTCTCTACGTCTACAACTCTCGTCTTGTCCTGCAACTCTAGTCATTACCGTGATATCCCGTTGGCATTTTCAGGGTCTCTGCTTGGCGTTGGGGACACACCTATAGATGCTTATCTATAGCTACTTCACTTTTTGGTATATTACATTGAGGAATACTAGCTTATAATGACCCAATATCGAATCTTATCATCTACAACCCAAAACAGTCAGACTAATCGTCCAATAATCGCAGTAATTGAATACACCCTACCCCACCCAAAAGAATGCAACACGTGCCCTATCCCTTACAGATCTATCCCCAATACTTGCATATGCAGCACCAGCACATGATCTGACTAGGAAATTCTCCTGGATCAAATGTCTCTCTTTCTTTGCCCTTTCCTTTCCCTAACCCTTGCCCTGTCTTTCACCCCTAGGCACAAATTGAACACGATGTCTATCTCCATTGACAACCATAAACAGTCCTAATTTGCAATTGAAACATCATATCTCTGGTTAAATCAACTCATCCCACAACCTTAATCCCTATTCTAAAGGTATGGATCAGGGTCATCGTGGCTGTAGCTGTACGTATCTGTAAGTAGTCTTAAGCATGCGAATAATTCTACGATATCTGTGCATATTGCGTATGTGTACACTGCGCATGTACAAACTAGCCCTTGCGTCGATTACTCCTTCAGTTATAATAGTATCAGCTGATCAGCAGCTTCGTAGTAGACATATTGTTCTTCTATACTAGGAGGTACTACTATAGATAGTCGTGATCTAGGGATGGATAATACTGTGCGACTATTGGTTATTACTGAGATGGTGAATGGGTTTTGTGTTAGTGTTGATTTGGTGTCTTGGGGAATTTGGTATTATTATTTCTTATGGGTGGGGATGGGATGTTGTGTATTTGGTACGGAGCAGGGGGTACTTAGGGGTGAGGGATAAGGTGAGTGAGTGCGTGGGGGGTGGGATGATGGTGGAAATGGGATTCGTGTTTGGGGCTCTGTTAATGGGTTTGTATTTGATCTGGGTTGCTGGATTGCATACTATATTTAAATATTCTCTGCTGGAAAGTGCAGTACTGTATGCCGGTGCAGTAAGGTTACTATGTTTATATCTAGCGATGCAATAGGAACGAGTAGTAGGTCATTGATATTCCTAAATGCAACCCTATATATTTCATAGAGTTAGGTCATGATAAATAACAAGGCTAAACTAAGATAAGGTATTCTATTTTATCCTGCGCCCAACCATCGCCTGTCCAAGCAAACCGACCAGCCAACCCACAAGGAACCGAAATTAATAAAGAGACCCGACCTGAGAAGAACTGAAAAGGAAACTTTCACAACTGCGCAACGTTTTCCAGGATTTGCACCTCCTGGCCCGGCTTGAATGCCGGCAGTCCGATGAACGGACAGCCCGCGCACCGGAAGGCATCGCCCAGGGCGCAGTTTCCACACGAGCCTGTCTTACCCTGAACAGTAAAGTCCAGCTCGTTCAAGTCCTCCGTCTCCAGCTTCATCACGTTCAGAGCCTTGTCTGCCTTCTCCCGCTCCGCTTGTTCCTCTGCCTCGAGTCGTGCTGCGAGTCCGCACGTGCAGTCCTTGCAGGCGCGACGGCGGCGGCCGGGCTTGGGCTGGCATTCGGGGGCTGTGATGCATGCATTGTTAGCATGGTTTAAATTCCACAAGAATTATCGAACTATGAATGGGACTTACGCTGGATAGGTCTCTTCAAATCCTCATCCGACAGCAGGGTATCCTCGTCGATCAAGTCATCGTCGTTTTCGTAATCGTCGTCATTATTAATCATGCCCACGGTGACAAGCTGCACGGGCGGTGCAGGCGCAGGTGTGGGAGCAACTGTCTCTGTCTTCGCCGCATCCTTCTTCTTCCCATTGCGTCGCAGGGGAATTGCGAACGACTTGGGCTGGTCCATCTTCTCAAATCCGGCATCGGTCTTGATCAGCCCCGCCAAGACCGCCTCGCGCTCCTCGGCCTCTCCGAAAAAGTTATCCTGAGTCTGTAGCTTCGCTCCGGCCTTCATGCAGGGAACCAACGCGGTGTAGACATCCCGCGTGAGCAGTTGGAGGGCCTCCGACCGCCGCGTGCCATCGGTATCGGTTAGGACGACAATGTGATCGTAGGTGTTGGCGGGGAGGGAAACGAAGCCGGCAGATATGCGGTCAAGCATCTGCAGGTCGGTTGTGGAGCGGTCAAAGGTGGTGAAGAGGTCCCGGAGCTTCTCTTCTTGAGTGGCGATGGAGGGGGGAGCGAGGAGGAGAGTGCGCTTGGAGGGGCTGCCGGTCGACATGGGCTGGAAGGAGGGGGCGGGTGCCATGTCGAAATCAGGCGTTGTGTCGATGGTCACGAACGAGGGAGCCATTGTGTCGGTCTACCTGCGAATTCGTCCGTGAAGGGAGAAGGAAGAGGAGATAGTTGGGGTATAAATGGAAGGGAGTGGAAATTGAGGTTCAAAAGTGATCAGTGGCCGTGATCGGATGCTCGTTTTGGGTTTCGTCTGGCTGACTCAATTGTCATCTGACGGCGTTGTGATTGGGTGGCGGGGAAAGTGGCAGAGATTGTGTTTGACGGTTATCAGCGAATTTTCGGAGTTATCTGATGATGGGGGATTACAAATCGAGGCACACGCCTGCAACCCCCGAGGAAATAGCTAGGTGATAGTCCGATGGCGGTGGTGGGATTTGTTTCCTTCTTTAGGAAAGTCGATGTTAGTGGGTTTTAATTTCTGGGAGGTTCTCTTTGACTCCGAGTGATTTTTAGCAGATTTTCTCCCCTCCAATGCCCCGCACCCATATTACTTTGGCCCGGTTGCTATTGCCCTGCTCGCTGTCCGTGGGAAATTGTCACGGAAATTCTTTGGCCTTTCTGGGTTTAGCGCTATTGGGCTGCTGCCCAAGCTGGCTGACTAATGGAGATCCTTCAAAACCCCGCTTGTTCATGATGTCACTCAGAGAGTGTCTGCCATCAGCAAGAAGAATATATATTAGTCAGTAACTGATGTTCGCGGTGAAATGCTCTCATAAATGATAGAAAAAGCCCATTATTGGCGAGTGAGACGGTTGTCTGCCCAAGAGCCGCTGTTTTTTCCAGCGTGGGGTGCAGTTTAACCTTAAATTGTTTCCAGAAGTGGAAACCCGGAGGGCCATATACTATACGGTCATGTGATACGGCTGATTGCTGATGGTCTCTCCGACCATAGCGTTGGAAGATTCAATTGCGACAACATTATCTCGGGGGAACAAGAATTTGATGCCCCTATCAGTGAGGGATACAAACTTTTCTGATGCAGCTACAACACAGGCCGATACGCCAACGGCTCTAAGCCGACTGAAGGGCAGAAAGAGTGACCCGAACTTAACTCCATCAGCGGCCACCCTAAAGGTGGATAACACTTGCAGAAAAAGTCTGCCCCAAAAATAATAAATACGGTTTTAATTATAATTAAAGTAGGCGATGCTTACTGCCCCAATTCTCAAGTATGGCCTTTGCCTTTGACATTGCTACAAGCACCCCACTAATCGTGCTGCTATTTACTAGTATATATACTGCTTGTGTTCTTGGTCGATAGTACAATGTTAATCTTCTCGGAGCTCGATACATATGTCGATCAATCGTGATGAAGTATCTGGATGCCAAGGGCTAGTTGTGGACATTGGACAGTTCAAGAAGAGAGGCAGCTATCCTGAGTTTGCTCAGCGACCCAGTCACACTACTATCGATTTCAGCAGATATTGCAGTCTTATCGCCCAGGAAGATGTTCCTCGATCGTTTGATAGAACGATGTGTGCAATGGCTGCAATATATAGATGCAGGAGGTAAGTTTTATCTCGTGCTATAGTCCCGTCGGACCTCTACCTCGCAAGCGGCCACTGCCATTGAGTACGATGGCGATGTGCCAACTAAAGACTGCCTATCGATGTTATCCATCAAAAAGTAACAGTTCAGCGCGGCCTTCTAAGAGCATGTGGCTGGGACACCCGAACGTTGGCAGACAAGGGTCAACTCACTATGGCAGGGTCATGTCAATCCTAGTTGACACCCAATATATTAGCTCATATTGCGGTAAGTGGAAGGCCAGGTAGACATTGTATTGTTGTGCAGCCTTCGTAAGCTCGGGGTGGTCGGACGCGCGCCTTCGAGCTTGATGGATGTCTGTGCTTGGGTCAGTATACCACACTATTGTCATCCATCCAAATCCGACTAAACTTCACAAACCAATTTAATGCTCTCACCAAAGCACTAATATATAAAAAATTGAAATTCGACAATGTATCTGTTCACACCATCTTTCTATTGTCAAAGCTTCCGCAAAAGGCAATGTGGAATGAATGGCTGACATAACAGCCACCCCGGATCAGCACAGGAATGCCTGCATCCAACGTCATGTCACCTGCCCTGTCGTGTTCCTGGCCGTTCCTGGCGACTCCTCACTTCCCCTCTTCTTTCCTTTGAGCAGACTCCCTCCTCTTTTGACCATTCAATTCATTCGAATCTACCAAATGCTTTGAATTATCAATCGTTGCATCCAAATCTGTTTATCCCATCACTCCACTGATCTAGACCCGCTACCATGGGTGGAGACGTTCCCCGGCAAGCTCCCAGCGCCCTTCCCCAGACTCCCGCCGGCCCAGTCGGTCAACGCATCAAGAGCATCTACACCGACCGTCTCAAGCAATTCACCGCCACCGGACAGTACGAAGGCCAGAACCTCATCTCGTAAGTACATTCTCACTGTGGTCTTATTGCACACATTTCTCATTCTTCCGATCGTCTATTTTGCGTCCGAACTATACTAAAGATCTACTAGCAAGCTGAACGAGGCCGTCAATTCCGACGAAGACCATGTCAAGCTTTCGGTATACTCCGTCCCTGACCTCCAGCGCCCAACTTTCAAAGAGGCTACCTCCAATGAATTTATACCTACCCACATCGGAGCATCGTTCGGGCCAAGCTGGTCCACTCATTGGTTCCGCATCCGCCTGACGGTCCCGGAGGATATGCGCAAAAAGGAACGTCTGGAGTTTCACTGGGATGCAAACAACGAGGGTCTAGTCTGGACGGAAGATGGTCGACCACTTCAAGGTCTCACTGGTGGCAACGAGCGTATCGAGTGGATCATCCCCGATGCCTGGCGGGATGGGAAGGAACATACCTTCTACATCGAGATGGCCTGCAATGGCATGTTTGGAAATGCGCCTGGGGGAGATTCAATCCAGCCGCCTAACCCTAACAAATACTATACATTGCACAAAGCTCAGATCACGGCTGTTAATCTAGAGGCACGGGCATTGTTCTACGACTTCTGGATCATTGGAGGTATGTTCGGACCAGTAACTTTAGGCAGCTTATACCACTGCCAGCTGCGAGACGACAGTATTTCCTGTACAGGGTCACTGACTTAGTACACTAGACGCGGCCAGGGAATTCCCTGGTGATGGCTGGGAGTCGCATGAGGCCAATATGGTCGGCAATGCTATCATTGATGCGTTCATTGCTGGGGAAGGCAGCAATGAATCAATCAAGGAGGCACGCAAAATAGCCCAGAAGTATCTGGGTAGTAAAGTAGATTCTTCCCAAGTGTACGAGACCGACACGGAACCCATCGTCTACGCTATTGGACATTGCCATATCGATACTTGCTGGTTGTGGCCTTGGGCAGAGACTAAGCGTAAGGTTGCCCGGTCATGGTCGAACCAGTGTGATCTGATGGACCGGTATCCGGAGCATCGCTTCGCTTGCTCCCAGGCACAACAGTTCAAGTGGTTGAAGCAATACTATCCATCGGTTTTCGAACGCGTCAAACAGTGGGTCAAGAAAGGTCACTTCCAACCCATCGGCGGCAGCTGGGTCGAGCATGACACCAATATGCCCAGCGGAGAGTCGCTGGTGAGGCAATTTCTCTATGGCCAACGCTTCTTTGAGAGAAACTTCGGTGAACGCTGTACAACCTTCTGGCTTCCGGATACCTTTGGCTACTCTACGCAGATACCTCAGATCTGTCGTTTGGCAGGCATGAGTCGCTTCCTCACCCAAAAGCTCAGTTGGAACAATATCAACAACTTCCCGCACACCACATTCCTCTGGGTTGCACTCGATGGGAGTCAGGTTATGTGCCACATGCCACCAGCGGAGACATATACTGCGAGCGCTCACTTTGGTGACGTGAAGCGTAGCGTGACTCAACACAAGTCAATGGACAACGACAACACGTCACTCTTAGTATTCGGCAAGGGCGACGGCGGTGGCGGGCCAACCTTTGAACATCTGGAGAAGCTGCGCCGCTGCCGCGGTCTCAGTGACAATGTTGGCTTGCTTCCTCGTGTCAAGATGGGAAATTCGGTCGATGACTTCTTCGCAAAGCTCGAGAAGAAGGTAGAACAAGGTACCCGCTTCGCCACGTGGTATGGTGAATTATATTTCGAACTACATCGGGGTACATATACCACGCAGGCCAACAACAAACGGGGAAACCGCAAGTCAGAGTTCTTGCTCAGGGAAATTGAATACCTTGCTACTCTCGCTACTCTTGAGCAGTCTGCTGACAAGTATAAGTACCCCAAAGAGGAAATTGACGAGATGTGGGAAGATGTACTTCTGTGCCAATTTCATGATTGCCTTCCCGGTAGCAGCATCGAGATGTGCTACGATGACTCCAGAGAGCTATACAAGAAGGTTTTCGAAATTGGCAACAAGGTTCGGAAGGAAGCCCTCCAAGCCCTTGGACTTGGAAGCAGCACCGCCAAGGGTCTCGTCGCAATCAATACATTGCCCTGGCCTCGCTCAGAAGTAGTCAAGGTCCCTGCTGAGTTTACAACTGCGGGTGGCCCTAGGTACGCCATTGTCAGTGGTGAAAGTGGTCCTATCAAGTGTCGGCTTCCCACGGCTTCAAACAGAGCGCCTGCTGTGACTGTTTCCGAGATCGAGCCCGGTGTCTTCCGTTTACAGAACGAGAAACTGAGGGTAGATGTGCACGACGGAGTCATCACATCATTGTACGATCTGGAGGAAAAGCGCGAAATCGTTGCCAAGGGCGGAAAGGCTAATCAGCTTGTCATTTTCGACGATAAACCACTCTACTGGCAAGCGTGGGACGTTGAGGTCTTCCACCTCGAATCGAGGAAAGAGTTGCAATCCGGGAAGACTACTGTCGCTGAGAACGATCCATATCGTGTCAGCGTGGTCACTGAGACCCGCATAAGCGACAAGAGCTGGGTCAAGACGACTATCAGCCTGGCTGCTGCCGTTGGAGACCAGCCATCCTATGTTGAGATGGAAAGTGAAGTTGAATGGCGGGAGACTATGAAGTTCCTCAAGGTCGAATTCCCTGTCGACATCACGAACACACAAGCATCGTACGAGACTCAGTACGGAATTATCAATCGCCCTACTCATTACAACACCAGGTATTTCTACCCTTCTTTCCACATATGCAGGTGCTAATAGGCTACAGCTGGGACATGGCCAAGTTTGAAGTGTGCTGCCACAAGTGGGCAGATCTGTCTGAGCACGGCTACGGTGTCTCGATTCTCAATGATTCCAAGTATGGGTTTGCAACTTGCGGTAACATGATGCGCCTCTCCCTGCTTCGTGCCCCGAAGGCACCAGATGCTCATGCAGATATGGGCCATCATCGTATCCGTTACGCGATTCTCCCGCACGCAGGACCCCTGGACCATCGCACGATCCGCGCAGGGTACAGCTTTAACCATCCTCTTGCCTTGGAGCCCGCATCTGGTCAGGAGGCAAGCGATGCGTTTAAGTCTATCTCGCTGGACGGTTCCCCGTCACTCGTGTTGGACACAGTGAAGCGCGGTGAAGACGATGAAGACGTGTCTCGTGACGAGCTGCCACGGCGTGCCGGGAAGAGCGTCATCCTCCGCATCTACGAGTCCCTGGGTGGTAAGAGCCGTGGCACCATCAATACCAAGCTTCCCGTCAAGAAGGCATGGAAGTGCAATATCCTTGAGGATGACGAGACGAGCCTGGTCTTGTCCAAGAGTGATGCACAGACCACGAGCATTGATATCGAGCTGAGAGCCTTCGAGGTCGCGACATACAGACTGCAGCTGTAGTCAGTCCCCATGCAGTGAAAGGGAAAATTGTCTGTAGTTCCTAACACCAAGTGACATATCTTTTGAGATGTATAGTCTAGCAGAGCAATGCCGATGCAATCTAGTAGTACAGAGGATATCACAGACAAATAGCGAAACCTAGCAAACACAGCGAACTCTTCGAACAAATATAATCAGTAGTTTTCCGCGCGCCACAGCTCCCTATCCAACCCAGCAAAGAACCTACCAACTCCAACCAACTCTCATGAAATGAAACGAAATGATAAAATGATATGTCAATCCCTCCCATAAGTAATCTTCAACCTCTTCGTAGGCGGCCTATCCCCATCCGTCCCATCATCATCCCCCTTATCCTTATTACTCGCCGCAGACTTCTTCTTATTCTTCGACGCCTGGCCCCCCTTCACACTATTCGCCGCAGACGACGCATCCCCATTCCCAGGCTTTCCAGTAGATCCATTATACGTGGAATTCGGAGTCGCGGCATGCGACGGCGTCGTTTGAGCCGATGAAGGCGCGGGTGAATCCTAAACACAAACACAGAGAACCCGTCAGCTTACGCACATCCCCACAACCACACAATCAAACACAAAGGGGACGGAGATAGAGAGAAAGGGAAGAAAGGTAAGCCTACCCGCATAAAACTCGCTGAACTCCTCGAAAACACACGATCCGCGTCCGACACCGTCGCCTTTCGTCTCGCAGCGCCTCCTCCACCACTCATACTTGATGAGAGGGCAATGCCTGCTCCGCCGATCCCGGCCCCGCTGGACGATCCCTTGATGTAATTATCGAAACCCTTGATGATGTTTCCGGCGGTGGTTTCTTCCAGGTAGGATTGTTCGAAGCGGTAGATTTGGTCTTCGAGTTGGGCCTGTCGTTTATTTGTGTTGGTTCGTGACACGGGGAAGTTAAAGGGGGGAATGGGGGGAGTGTCCGTACCATGCTCTTATCCATTAGGCGCTTCTTCTGGAGTGTGTCGCGTAGTTCGCGGCGGAGTTTCTCGTAGTAGGGGAGGCCGCGGTTTGCGGTTGATGAAGCGGAGGAGTCGTTGGATTGGTTGGGGTTGTTGGGGTTGGAGGTGTTGTTTGATGTTGTGTTGTTGTTGGAGTTGAGATTGGAGGTGGAGTTCGAATTGGCATTGTTGTTGTTTGGTGTGGAATTGGGCGCTGTGGAGTTGGTGATTGTGGTGGAAGTTGGGCCTGTTGTGCTAGTTGGTGGTGCTGGTGCTGGGGCGCTTGATGCGGCCGGTGTTGTAGCGGCGGCGGCGGCGGGTTCGGCCATTGTGGTGGTGGGTGACGTGATTGTAGTCGCGGGAAAGCGTCAATGATGAGGAGATTGAGATGGGGGTTTGGTTGGGTTAGATGCGAGCGCGCATTGAAACGAGTGTACTGGTGGAGGTGGTGTCGCGATCTCTAGCATCTAGAAGCGGAAGAGAAGTGGAAGTGAATGAGTGGATGGAATGGATTGGATGATGATCGCCGCCAGATCTTATCGTTGGTGTTTGGCTGGTTTGCATCCGCGTCACATTATCGCTCCGTCACCTTACGTACACCTGGGAGCTGCATCTCCCCATCTCCCTTGCTCTCTTTCCCTCTCTGTCTTACCGGTGTGGTTCGCTGGCTTCTTTATCTGAGAGAGGCTTGTGGTGTTTGCTACGCTGAAGCTCGCTGTACATATTGTACTTGACTTCGTCATCAACGACTATTCTACTTGTTGGACTTGCTACGGCCTGACTTCGAGATGGATCACTCAATGCATGGCATGATGGATATGGACCATGGACATGATCATGGTGATATGGATATGGGTGATGGACAGTGCAGTATGAATGTGAGTGTCTTGTTGCTTCTATATTGGTGCGAGTGCAAGCGGTGCTCGGAAGTGGAGCTCACCATTGCTTGCTACAACGTACTGCCCTCCTAGCTCGTCCGGCTAACGATGCTTGCTAGATGCTATTCACCTGGTCTACGAAGAACCTCTGCATCGTCTTTCCCCAATGGCGCATTACCAGCACCTGGTCCCTTCTGGGTTCACTTATTGTCATCGTCCTTTTGACGGCCGGCTACGAGGGGATTCGGCAGCTTACACGGCGGTTCGAAGCAGCTCACGCTAGGAGGCTGAGTGCATATACTACGGTTGCTGTTGGAGGTACGTACATCTCAGTTCCTATTATGTTTCCTGTATAATGCATGGCGGGGATATTGGAGTCATGGTTTCTTCCTCATCTTCGAGCGCTGGTTATTGGTTTGGCCCAACCTTTGCTGGGATGAAGCACCTGACACCGTGAAGGCAGCGAGGTCCACGACGATTCTGCCACGGCCAATGTCCCTTCTAGCCAGACGCTGCCTGCCCCGAACACCGGCTCACCCCTAGTTGTAGGCAGGGATAGCCGAAGGACCGTCGAGCAAAGAGGCAAGATCACCATGGCAGCATTGTATGCTGTGCAGGTATTCTATAGCTTTTTCATCATGTAAGTCTTCTAACCCCTCCTATTCACTCCCTGTTCGACCTGGACGAGTTCTAACTGTTCAGGCTGCTCTTCATGACGTACAATGGATTCGTCATGCTCGCAGTTGCCGTTGGTGCCTTTGTGGGATATTTGGCGTTTGGAGACAATACCTCTGCCAGCAAAACGGTTGCTTGTCATTAATGGACTGTAAGCACGAAGGCTTGCCTGAAGTTTTGGCGGGAACCGGGCATATTCTTAGCAGTAGCCTCGTTAGGTAGCTGTGGTCGTCTTGTCGTTTGGAAACAGCATCAGTTGCATACTCGTCTAATGAACATTCATGCGTTCACTTGCAAGCAGCGGAGACTGCAATTAGGGGACTTCAACATCGCTGTCATCTCCAAACCCGAAGCTAAACCCGCCTCCTTCGGCGGCATCACCCCCGTCTTGCTCTGGGTTTCCGTGCACAATTTCGTCCCATTTCCGTTTCTTCCCCTCGTTCTTCTTCTGCAGCTCTGCCTGCGCCTGTTCCAATAGCTCAGGATGCGATTTCTGCATCTGCGCCACAAACCGCTCGTAGGGATTGTTTACGTCCTTTCTGAAACCTGAAACCTGGTCTGCCTTGTTAGACAAGAAGTCCAGCGCAGCGCTCAGGTGGGCACGGGGTATGAAGTTCTGAGTAATGGCAATAGCTGGCTCAATGTTGACGACCAAGTGCCACCAGCCCGAAGGAACGTGGAGAATCTCGCCCTCGTGACAAATCCCCTCGATGCAGCCTGGGCTACGTCGTGCCTCGGCGTGAAAACCGAAAAGCCACTCGGCAATACTAAGAGGGGAAGTCACTTCACTCTGGTCGTCTGACACATAGACGCCCGGAGGCGGCGGGAGCTTCGAAGACGATGGGAACATGATCCAGTATTTTGAACCACGAACAACCGCATTCCAGGCGCTGGTAGCGTTCGGGTCCTTGTGGAAGGTACTTCCAGACCGCTCGGGTCCAATGATCAGCCACTGCCTGTCAGGGCGATCGTTCCCCAGCACGGAGAAGAAGTCCTCTCCAAAGCAACTGGGAGGCCAGTAAGTGGCGTCAGGCTCCTGGTCCGGCTGACCGACTTTGAGGCCCATTTTTGATACAAAGGCCCGGTCGAACAGATAGAGGGGGCTCTCATCGGAGTTGTTGTGCATGTAATCAACATAAGTATGGAAAGGCCAGTCCACTGCCTCTGCGCGGAAAACAGCCTCGCCGTAGTGATCCAAAAGCATGTTTACGGACCAGTTCTTGTAAGCTGGCCATTGTTTCACAGGCTCAGTCAAGATGAAGGGCGTGTTGCTCCATTTTTCATTGAACTCCTCAAAGGAGAGATCGGGGAGACGAGCAATTTGGTTGCGGGCAGGGATATTCTTAATGTAAGGATCTAAAGATATATGGGCGCAGTGGAAGGGCCGGTGCAGGACATCCGAGAATAGATTCGAGCAGTCTAGGATGCACTCTTCCGACGGAGGAATGTTAAGATAAGTTGAGCGCCATGTTCCTTTCCATGAGAACGAGGCGGGAGGAGACCTGACTAAAGCGTTAGTGCAATGCTCCAGGCCGTCTAGCTATAATTCTACAAATGCGATGAGACAGTAGACTGCCACGTCCCAGGAATCAAGAGAAATAAGCAGTCCCCTGGCAAGCAGATGTAGACAATAGCAATAATGTAAGAACAAAGATCTATATCTCACCCGGTGAAAAGAGCTTTCCAGAGATCTTCGGCTCTGGTGAAAGCATAGAATGCCTTGCATGTCTGTCCTATATTTAATAGACTGGGACCATCGAGGTATTCGAGCAACATTAATATCGACTCATCCGGTAGGATGTTAAATGTCCCAATTGCATGGCGCAGATTCTCTGCGGCGAGCAAAGCATTGCCACTAGGCTTCACGCCCAGAGGATGGCCAGGAATTTCTTCATGGCCAGACAGATCCTCAACATCGGGCTCTGGATGCGAAGAGTAGCTATGGGCAGCTACTGCACCGCCGAGAGGACGAGCACTGTCCAAGGAATTGATATCCGGCATTTTCATGATTATTATTTGAAGAAAAAGAAAGAGACGGGCATTGAATTGTAGGAACTTTCCCAATTGGGTGGGGAACGACTAGACCGGTCACAGACCGGGCGGCGGTGGTGGTACAGACTAGTAATAAACAGCCCACACAACCAACGGCCAGGGCTGTCAGGCAGGGAAGATACGGGGGGTCTTATGCCCAACCCACCCATAAACACCGCTCCTGTGGACTTGCTAAGCGGCAATACACTCGTCCTACGCAGTAAAAGACTTGCCTCCTGGGCAACGAAAATATTACCATAGATTTCCCTCCGTAGTTCAGCCAGCGAATAAGGAAATAATGACAAAATTCCCACAAGGCAAGTACGTGGGTAGGTTACCCGATAAGGAAGGCGGTGCGTATCGGCTAGGCTAAATTGGCGCTAAAAATCAAAAATTTCACCGCGACAAATGGAAAAATGGCAGACACAGGGAAGGAAAAGGGAAGAAGAGAAAAAAAAAAAGTTCGCAGTGCTCGTCCCGCCGCTTCTGGTCCCCCCATTTTCCCACACCATCTTCGGTCATCCAACTTGAACTTCTTTTCTCTTCCCACCCCTACGACTTTTGAAGTCTTTGTGATATCTCTCATCCCCCGAGAGTTGTGCTACCAGGTTCGTTGCTCTCTCCCCAGTGTTTCTCTGCGCATTGCGCCCTCCCCCACCATCCTCGCCTATCGCTAACAAGCCTTTTCCAGTTTTAATCCCAAAACCCCACCGTCTTCTTCGATCACAGCATCTCGCCTGTGATCTTCTTACAACAACACCGCAATCATGGCTTCTAACGACAAGGGTTTGGAGGAGATCCCCGAGGGTATGTGTTCCTATATCGTTTGCTTCATTTTTTTTCACGGCAAATTTGTGGTTTATATCTCTCTACTTTGCTGGAGAATGGGGCCTTGCTCTCAAGCCAGCGGAAGAAAGAGATAATCGCCACAACCCACCATCGAAATATCCTTCGAAGAATTAAGCTAACCAGAAATTTCACGTCAATAGGACAGATCGAGACCAACTACGATGAGGTCACCGACTCCTTCGACTCCATGGACCTGAAGCCCGAGCTGCTTCGCGGTATGTGATACAAATTTTATCTTCGCCCTGGTGGGGTCTGTGCCAACATGTTCTGACGACGTCCAGGTGTCTACGCCTACGGTTTCGAGCGTCCCTCCGCTATCCAGCAGCGTGCCATCAAGCCCATCATTGCCGGTATGTTTTCTCCGCACGGTCGCCCATAATTTATGATGCTAACTAGGGCATCCCAGGCCACGATGTCATTGCCCAGGCCCAGTCTGGTACCGGAAAGACTGCCACTTTCTCCATCTCCGCTCTCCAGAAGATCGACCAGGAGCTCAAGGCCTGCCAGGCTCTGATTGTCGCTCCCACCCGTGAGTTGGCTCAGCAGATCCAGAAGGTCGTTGTCGCCATCGGTGACTTCATGAACATTGAGTGCCACGCCTGCATTGGTGGTACCAACGTCCGTGACGACATGAACGCCCTCCGCGCCGGCCCCCAGGTCGTTGTCGGTACCCCCGGTCGTATCCACGATATGATTGAGCGCCGTGTCCTCAAGACCGACCAGATGAAGCTCTTCATCCTCGACGAGGCTGATGAGATGCTTTCTGTAAGTCTATTTCTGATCGATCCCGAGAAGATGTGCCCTGGCTAACAACATACTCAGCGTGGTTTCACCGAGCAAATCTACGACATCTTCCAGCTCCTCCCCCAGTCCACCCAGGTCACCCTGCTGTCCGCTACCATGCCCCAGGATGTCCTTGAGGTCACCACCAAGTTCATGCGTGACCCCATCCGTATCCTGGTCAAGAAGCAGGAGCTTACCCTCGAGGGTATCAAGCAGTTCTACATTGCTGTCGAGAAGGAGGAGTGGAAGCTCGACACCCTCTCCGATCTCTACGAGACCGTCACCATCACCCAGGCCGTCATCTTCTGTAACACCCGCCGCAAGGTCGACTGGCTCACCGACAAGCTCACTGCCCGTGACTTCACCGTCTCTGCCATGCACGGTGACATGGAGCAGGGCCAGCGTGATGTTATCATGAAGGAGTTCCGTTCCGGTTCTTCCCGTGTCCTGATCGCCACTGACCTTCTGGCCCGTGGTATCGATGTCCAGCAGGTCTCCCTGGTCATCAACTACGACCTTCCCGCTAACCGCGAGAACTACATCCACCGTATCGGTCGTGGTGGTCGTTTCGGTCGTAAGGGTGTTGCCATCAACTTCGTCACCGCTGACGATGTCCGCATGATGCGTGAGATTGAGCAGTTCTACAGCACCCAGATCGAGGAGATGCCCATGAACGTTGCTGGTAAGCAGGACTTGACCCACACTTTTATGATTTTTCCATTCATACTGACTCCGGCATCTAGACCTCATCTAAACTCCCTAATACCATCACCTAACGTCCCTCGATGCGGATTACGAATGCAGTTGCCAATAACGCTCCAAGGGTGAGCTGCGGTGGGAAAGACGTTTTGACATCGTTGCGCTTCTCTTGGTAAAGGAGAATCCTTCAAAAAGTGGCTTTCTGTGTCTCCAGCATTTTCTCTTTTAGCAGTGGCGAGCGGGAACCGTCTTAGTCTGCGTGTTTCTGTCTTGTTCTGTTTATGGTTTCCTTTGTCTGTTATTGCTTATGGAGATGCGACACGCTTGTGCGATTTTATTGCTGTAATTCATGGTTCTCTTCCGGAAACGCTTTTTCACACCTTTTTCCTTTGCTCTGTACCTAGCTCGCTCTCTGGTTGGTTAAGGATGCTGCGTTCATACTTGACCAAGAGGTCGGGCCAAAAATGTGATTAGTTCAATCAGGCTTTCTTTTCCTCGAGGCACTTTGGGTGGACGAAGATACGATTATGGCTCGGACTGGTTGTATACCTGTGTTCACTAGTATAGACAAGAGAGGTACATACCATTCCATTAGTTTGTTTTGAATAGTCAATCTTCAACCCTTGGTTTTGTGGAAGGCGCTCCAACTTGTAGGGACATTACTCCGTATAGACAGACACAGCCTAAGCATAGTATACTATGTATACCACCCTTCCATCCTCCATTCTCCACATCCTCCACAACACATCCCATCTCAACAACCACTCTATCCCCCACGAAACTCAATCCGAACCAAATAAAGAACCTCCAAAAACCAAATGAACAACCCACGCCGACAACCAAACGCCAACATCCCCCACCCATCCACTTTCCTCTGGGCCCACGAGCTCCGACGCGAAAACATTCAACTCGTGAATCAACTCAACAGCCTCAGAGCTGACCTCGCTGTTGCCAATGATACCATCGCGAATCTGAATCACAGACTTGAAAGTCTAGATCTACGAGCACGCGAGGAATATTCCAAGCTAGAGAATAGCCTCAAGGAACTGGAAGCTCGATTCGACATCAATCTACGAACTGGTATTGAGCGGGTTGAGGAACTTGAGAATGAGAATCGTCGGCTATGGGGTATGGTTGATGGGTTGGAGAAACGTGCGAGGGAACAGCAGGCGTTGGAGGAGGGTATTCGCGTGAAGGTGCTGGATGAAGTGAGAGATATGTTGATGGAACGGGGAGAGAGTGGAGTGAAGGTGGGGATGGGATTGGGAATGCGGAGAGGAGATGTTGTCAAGGCTTGTTCTGCTGGGTCTGATGTTCTTGTGCCGGATTCGATGCCTATGGGTTCGGTGCCTGGTGGTGGTGGTGGTGGTGGGAGGAGTGGGCTGTCGTCGACGCTTTCTGATACTACGTGGGGGACGCCTTCTTTGGTGGGTGAGGAGAAGACTGAGGAATATGGGTCGGATTTGGAGGGTGTTATGAAGCAGTGTGGGAGGTCGTTGGCTGATTATTTGGCCGTTGCTGAGGGGATGAGGTGTGGATTGCAGGCACAGAGGGGTGAAGGTGAGGTTGTTAGAGCTGTTGTACGGGGTCTTGATGACTCTGGTATCCGGGCTTTGATCGAGGGAGAGATGAACAACGCTGGGTGGTCTTGGAGTGCTTTGAGGGCCGTCATGCTGAAGGTTATTAAGGACAGGGAAATGCCTATACAGGAGCCAGTCAATGAAAACGAAACGCCCAATGGAAATGACAAACTCGAGTCGTCAAGTGCTCCGCAAGTCCAGCGCAAAAGGCAAAGAACGAGGAGATACATACCCATTGTACCAGCTGATGAAGAGGACGAACGCATTGTTATGGAAATGTACCGCCGTTGAGAGACCGACTTACTTTTTCATCATTCCAGATAGTCTATATTGGAAGAGAACCAGGGTATGTATATACAGTGTCTATCTGATACATATATCTTGTTCAAGACAGCCATTAGGTCTCACTGTACCGGTATCTACCCTCACGGTCCTTGACCTCGACCTCAATGCGACCCTCCTCGAGCTCCTTACCGTCATACTCAATGGACGCCTTCATGACATCGCCAGACTTGACCTGACCAACACCCTTAGGGGTACCAGTCAGGACAAGGTCACCCTTCTCCAGAGTCATGACACGGGAGATCTCCGCCAGAAGTCTGGGGATGCGGTAAAGCATCAGACCGGTGGAGTCGGCCTGGCGCACTTGCGATCCAACGCTCAAGCGGAGGAAAGCATTGTGAGGATCGGGAAGACGCGACTTGGTGATCTCCTGGGAGACAGGCAGGAAGGTGTCGAAGCCCTTGGCGATGGTCCAGGGGAGGCCCTTCTTCTTTGCTTCTTCTTGGACGTTGCGAGCGGTCATGTCAATACCGAGGAGGTAGCCTATATTCGCAATGATATCACACACAGTTAGTCCATTGATACTCCTTGTCATCCGCAAAGAGAACAAGAGCACAGGATCATGACTGACTGTGAATCGCATCCAGAGCACCCTTATCGTCATTCGGGTCAAGATCCCGAACGGTCTTGCCCATCACCAGCGCCAATTCGACCTCATAGTGCAAGTTGGTTCCCTGAGGGCGCAGCACAGGACCTTCGCCGGGGCAGAGGATAGCGGAAGCGGGCTTCAAGAAGAAAAATGGCTGCTTGGGCTTGGTGTTGTTCAGCTCTGTGATGTGGTCGCTGCGGTTGACAGTCTGCGTTAGCGGGACCTCGTCATGCGGAGATGTGGTGGGATAGAACATACGCATAGTTTCTGCCAATGCAGATAACCTTTCTGCAGTTGGCCCTAATCGCGGAGGCCATGATGAAGTGTGCAATTTGCGAGGATGGAGGGGGAAGAGGAATAATTGAGGGGGTGGGAATGGAATGTAGAGGCAATTGAGGCCTGGCGGATAATAATATAATCGGCCAGTCGGAGCTCGGCCGATGCGACGCACGGAAAGGTGCTCCGCGCGCTGCGTGCGGAGAGGCTCGGATTCTCCGAGATTCGGAGGGTCAAGCCGGATGATTGGGGATGATAAGAGGGTTGTGTGGGGAAGTAAGTGGGAGTGCGATAATGGTGGTTATTCTATGATCTAAAGGGATTTTAGAGAATATGTGTAGACAGTTATTTGTCTGGAATTGTGAGTTGAGATTGTGATGAGCTGAGAATGTTTTCTTATTCTTGTTGTTCCTTACGTCACCCGCTCAGTTCTTGAAGGGTGTTCTTATCGCTGCATGTTAGCTACTTTCTTTGCACTGCGTCTGTACATAATCATCTGAATCAAATCTGAAAAAACAGAGCCTCTTTTCAACTTCGTCTATCGTATTGTTGCAGAATTCCACCAGATTCCCCAGTGATCCGAACCAAGACCGCCATGCAAGTAGCTGAGATCCTCTCCGATCTGACATCCCTACGCGTCTGTGTATGTCCTCCCCAGTCTCCTTGTAGGTGGTGGGCCAATATAAGTACTCGTCTGCAGTACAGTATTTTTAACGACTGATATCAATCAAAGGACCACCATGACGCCCTCGCTCTCGTTACCGTCAATGAGCGAATACCCCAAACCACAGATCAACTAAACCCTAAAGCAACAAACACAACCCCATCAGGCTCTGGAATAGATTCAGGCAGTTACGAAAATGATGACCTTCGTCGCGCAAAAGAACTCGTCGACTTGCACTATGAGTTCAAGGCCCGTCATGCGCTAGGCACGGTCGATGAGGAGCTCTCGCGTGCAAGGGAAGAAGTAGCCCGAGTGCTGAGGGAACTCAGCTAGTTAGGGAGAAGTACTAATACCTTGGGTCTGGGCTGTTTGTGAATTTTTCTTCTTATACTTATGCATATGGATGATTTTATTCGGGCTGGCGTTATCAGTGATGTGTTGTATGGTAATGTTATATGGGAATTTATATGCATGATTGACTTTGCGAAGGTGCTATTATAGTACTTCTAGAATGCTACGCCTGATAGATAACCTTATTATTTCAACATTGGTTAGGGCCACTACTTATGTGGATTGCCATCTCCGTCTACGGTATTAAGGGAGGCTTGGTTTCTAGCCTGCAGAGAATTAATTCACTTAAAGTGGCTACTATGCTTGCTTCTATAATCATCAGATACTGAGGATTTCAAGGTCCTTCTTTATCCTGTATAATATAATGAACTATCTAGACTGTTAATACTACCGCACGTTCTCTTCGTCAGATGATCAGGATTCCGGGTCCATTAGGACATTGTCTAGTGTCACACTTGACAGACAAGCCACTGACCATTCAGATCTCTAGAATGCAACACCCTTCATGCAGTTCGTCAGCAAGCTTATTAACTCATTCAGCTCACGGATCACATACATTCGGAAGGCCCGGACCAAAAGGACCTTCAAAGTCTTTTGCAGTAGCCTCCTGGGCATCCTGGTTGTCACGCTTGAAATTGGTCCAGGCACCTAGATCAGGTAAGTAGGCATCATCAACAGTAGCCTTCTGGGCATCTTGATTGTCACGCTTGACAGGCGACTCAGTACTAGTCACATCTCTTTTAAAGGCAACACCCTTTCACGCATCTCTGTCAGCAGGCTGGTCATCACTTTGGATTGAAGAATCACACACATTTGTAAGACCCGGACCAAAAGGCCCATCGAATTCTTCTGCAGTAGTCTTCTGGGCAACCTGACTACCACGCTTGAATGGAGTCCATGTATCTGGGTTGAAGTCATCATCACCAGGCATCTGCCGAGCAACCTGGTTACCACGCTTGGTGGACGACTCGATACTGGTTAGTACTCCACGTCGACGGAGGCCCTTTCATAGATTTATGGTTAGCTGACCGGTCATCATTCTTAGGAAAAGGATATCATACAAGGGTATCACCAAGCAGACCAATAGGATTGGGACCTGCTTCTTCCTGAGTCGCGGCAGTGGTGGACTCCTGACTCGAGAAATCCTGTCAAGCACCGCATTAGCGAGTTGTCTGAACCAATACATGAGTAGCAGACAGAAAGCTACTATATAGGTAGGTTCATGTTCAGTTACTTACAGTAGGTAGGGCCAGGATCGCAGAGGCCAGCAACAGAGTAGTAAAGATATACTTCATATTGAATGATAGTAGTAGAAAGAAGCTACTCAGATACCAGTAAAATTCAAGACTCAAAGAACAAGAAGGTTAAGTTGACTGTATTGACTAAATCAGTTTGTATCTGTTGCACTGAATGAGAGAAGATATCCTGGTATGGGGGCTCCAGGCCAGCTTTTATACACGAGCTTGCCAAATCTCGAGACCCATGACTTCCGTTATCTAATTCCTAATCTCTAATCTCTCACCGATGTGTTCATATCTTCTCATCGCTGAAAGTATCTCGTGCTCCTGTTGATCATCATGCAGTCTTGGACGAGCAATTCAAGTGATCTGTACTTGTCGCTCGGGGTAGGTACTAAGGATTAGTCCGTATCAGATGTCTGAAGAGGGGAACGGAGCGATGATCGACAATAGTCAAGCTATGCATGTCGTCACATTGGCACAGAGTCAAACTATAGCTACGCCCAGTTTCTTTTACTGGCCCTTTCCAGGATGATATGACGAACAAATGGGATGAACACCCCTCTTGAGGGGATGCAGCCAGTTAGAAGGAAGCCGGCTTGTTGGAGCAGCGAGCAACTAGTGAATGAGAATTCTTTCTTGTCCACTCAAGGAGTTTCTCTGAATGCAGCCTCGCAATAGTGTAGTAATGTTTACTTCTTTTCGGATAATCTATTCGGCGCTGCTCGATACTATTACCCACTGCACCTAGTACCCTTTCATCAGATCCCCTCCAAGACCCGTCCAACAAATTCAATGAATTGAAGACTCCTTTATAATACACACGCCGAAGGAGTTCTAACACGATAAGAAATACAGCTCACTCAGATAGACCGAAAAGATACCTCCGAGGCTTTGCAGGAGTGGGAAGCTGGAGTATTCCAGCATAGTACGTGGATTGTACTAACTTTGTTTTATGTGTACTCCCCACAGCTCAGACATTCCTCGATGAATGCTACCTAGCTTATTGGTTTAACATCATCCAAATCCAAACTCTGTGTAAGTGGATGGGGCGGGAGCAGCGAGGGGTTGGATTTAGACTAGAATACGTCGGTAGTCAAATACCTTATCAATGTGTCTATCTTGCTAGTTACTCTGCTCAATGACTGGCTGTCAGTAATCCTCTGCCATGCCAGTGTGCAGCTGACTCTTGATTATCATGTAGAGGATTTTGTTGCTGCAGTCTGACATACAGTATCTTCTGAGACAGGTTCTCTCCAACTGTTTTGCTATACCACCTCTATGTGGTATATTTTACATATCATGCTTGTGCCCCCTTTGTATTGTGTTGCTACTAGAAGCTAACGGTGGATAATACCGGACAATGGGCCACATATACATGCAAGCAAAAGTTCTCCTCGATATATGCTGGCCCTTTGCCCTCAAATGGATCAGGCATATTGCAAAAGAATGACTAACAGAAATCAAGTCCTTCGTATCGTTCGCCCTTATGAGTCATTCCCTGCACATTGTGTAAGAGCTTGGCTCGAGGCTGGAATACTGCTTTAAAAGAACGAAACGAAAGTCCTGGGTGTTTCAATCCTCCTCCCCTAAACTGTCAATAAACCGTTTAAATCGTTCATGTTGCCGCTCCTCTTCCTCAACAGGCCTCTAGGTTTTCTATTTCGTCCACATATCACCTAGTGGACAGCCTGGTTGTCAAGCTTGACTGGGGGCTGCACAACGCAACACCCTATCGCGCATCTATCGTCAGCAGGCTGGCTATCATACTTGATTGAAGGATTACATACATTTAGAAGGCTCGGTACAGATGGCCCGTTGGATTTCTTCCCAATGGCCTTCTAGTCCTCCTGGGTGTCACGCTTAGTGTCACTCCAGTCCCTGAAATTATATCTGTAGGCATCATCAGCAGTGGTCTTCTGGTCATCCTTGTGGTCACGCTTGGTGCTACTCTAGGCTCCTGAGATCATACATGTAGGCATCATCAACAGTGGCCTTCTGGGCATCCTGGTTGGCACGCTTGAAATTGGTCCAGGCACCTAGATCAGGTAGGTAGGCATCATCAACAGTAGCCTTCTGGGCATCCTGGTTGTCACGTTTGGAGTTTTGACCCAAGAGATCCTATCAACGATCAGCAAGTAGTAGAGAGACAACTTTTTGCAGTAACCAGGGAGCGATCAGGAATATTTCTATGTTCCAATAACTCACAGCAGGTAGGGCCAGAGCCGCACCGACCAAGACGAGGTTGACCAGGGTATATCTCATTTTGAAGGACAAACGTTTGTCAGAGACAAGAGAGATCAAAGATGGATAAACAAAGATTCTTTATCTAATTGAGGGACTTTGTTCTGTCAGAGAGACCGATGAAAGGTGCCTTTGAACCGGGGCCTCTCGCACTGGGTTTTATACATTGGTCAACTCGACTTAAGGTCCTCTAGTTATCATTTACGGCGGTCATCCCCACATGGTCTCTGGTTACAGTAACACGTCTTTCAATCAATCAGAGGAAAGATATGGTTAGCTGAACTGAAAGATCTTCACTTTGTGTAATACTTTGCAGTAGTCCAATACAGAAAGACGCCTTGCATTGTCGAAGACTGTGGACACATGTGGAAAGCCGACAGCTTCTGAGCTAGTCCATAGGAGAAGGGTGTAGTAAGGCTGTATAGCACATTACCACCGGCTAGCCTATCTCAATCAACTATAGCACGCAGTGTAACCATTGCGTTGGACTGAGATTGGGCAATCAAGGGTTTAGTCTACATCCGCTTAAGAGCTTAAGAGCAGAAAGTCAGCTGGCTGATCTATCACCTGCTAGTTGAAACAACTCCTAACGAGTCAGTAGTAAAGGAGTGAAAATGTAATATTTTTTTGGTTTTTCTTTCTTTTCTTTTTTGCAATTTTGGGGGGAGTGGTTTGGTTGAATCAAGTTTCGAAAGTAATAATCATCTATTTTTGCTTGTTTCCTGTGTCCTAGTTATCCCCTTCCTCATTTTCATCCCGGGAATACGGGAAGATAGTCAACTTGATCATGCATAAGCAAATCTTCCCAAAGCCAGTACAAGCCATCCGATCGGAGATTGTTCAAAAATATTGCTCATACGAATATCGTCCACAGAGTAGCGCCCCCGAAGCTGTACACACTGAAGTAAGCGAGATCAGCACATACAGTGTCCCCTGGATAATCCCGAGCCGTCGTGCTTCGGTGAAAGTAGAGAATTATCAGATGACTTTCTCCCACACGACTCATGAGTCAATAGAGTACTGGCGTGTTCTTGGAATGCCGTTCAGAGATACTTCACTAACCAGACCCCTCAGTACTTGCCGTTACTCTGCAATCTTACGTTCAGACTAGTCAGTGATATTCTTGCAATGGCCACGCCAAAATATCAGGAATTGTCTGAAGATGATGAGCGAGGAGGTCTGTTGGATCAGACAGATGCAGTTCATTCACGCCCTGGCCGGACCCCCTTCTCGAAATATCTATATTCCGTCATATTGGGAATCAGCCTTTCATTCAATCTATATGGACTACTCAACATGATCCAAGGTTTCAAAGATATCTGCATTCCAAATCCTATATTCTGTCAGTTATCCCCCCTACTGGCTTCTGGGTCATTCAAGGTGAGGACCATCCTATCTAGTACCTATATGCTGATTGTACGGAGCAGCGCCGGCAAATCGGATCATAGACTATAAAACGGTGACCTTTAACAGCGGCTTTGTGTCTAGGACCCCGTACATGGGCCCTCCTACTGACGCCTATGATCAAGCGTGGGAGGACTTGTATAACTGTATGATAACACCTTGCCCTCTGCCCACAATTCCCGGTTGAAACACACTTGCCAACGCTAGCTTCGTTTCCTTTGAGAATAGATGGCATTATTAAGATCCCACAGTCCGACGCGGCCAATCTAATCAACCATACTCTACCACTTGCCTCTGAGCCAGGCATGTATGTGATTGGACTTGATGTTTTTCATCAACTTCATTGTCTGGTATGTGGGATCTTCTTTCTTTCTTTCTTTCTTTCTTTCTTTCTTTCTTTCTTTCTTTCTTTCTTTCTTTCTTTCTTTCTTTCTTTCTTTCTTTTCTTCCCCTTGAACAGGTATACAGATCCACTCACCCCTTCTCACTAGCACCACCTCCATAAAAAGGCCTGGGGTCATGACATGGGCCTCAACATGAGTGACCCTGAAGCGGTGAAAAATTTTTGGACCCATCTCGACCATTGTTCTGATTCCATCCGTCAGAGTCTCATGTGCAGCTCGGATGTATCAACCATCCACTGGCGGTGGAATGAGAGTATACCGCGATGGCAGGCAGAGAGCAGGATCGTACATACCTGCCGCGACTTTGAAGCTATACGGAACTGGGCCTTTGAGAGAACGGCTGGAGTTGTGGACTTCGAAACGTGGGTGCCGGATCCATTGCGTGGAGAGGTATGAAGGGAAGACTTGGATTAAATAGATGAGCGAACCACATATAGCATATAACTATTAGATATTGCTCCAGTATAAACTGTTCAAACAAATACCGTAGTAGTCACTCGGCCTTCCTCCTAAGAGGACCTTCTCGAGGCTCTATATAAGATCCTAGATAGATACGATCAACCCTTGTCTCTTCAATGACCTGAGATGAACTGCCAACAAAAGTGCAGTGGCAGTACTTAAGGCTGAAGGAGCAAATCGGCTGGTACCTTAAATAGTCAAGGTACAGTATGAGAGGTATTTTCTACAACATTGGTACAAGTGTTCTTGAAACAATGTAACTTAGTGACATCAACTTCCCAAATAGGCAAGATTGAAGCTATCATCGGTCCGACTGCGACTCCGGTGTTCGGGCATCGACAAACACCCAACCCGCAGTTTCGTGGCTGGCTCAACACCGCAGCTGTTCACGCGCCGGTCGCTGTACCTATTGTCGACTCTTCACTTGCTGTTGGTTCTCTCGAACTAGGACTAGAAACCATGGCGACAAGTGTGGATGCCAAGCTGCTAAAGCAGACCAAATTCCCTCCGGAATTCAGCCGGAAGGTGGACATGACCAAGGTCAACATCGAGGTGATGAAGAAGTGCGTTGCAAAAGCCCCAGCTAAGTTTCTTATCGCGAGGTGCTGTTATCACCCGGTCTGGAACTAACACTTTTAATCATTGCAGATGGATTGCTGGAAAGATCTCCGAGATCCTGGGAAATGAAGATGACGTCGTTATTGAGCTCTGCTTTAACCTTCTGGAAGGGTCGCGGTTTGTATGTACTACCTTTTACCTTTTGCCTTTTATGCTGATTTGCTATGTCTTACTTGCGGTTCAGCCATCCAAGCTAACTGGTTTCACTTTGAATTATCTTAGCCCGATATCAAGTCCCTGCAGATTCAGCTCACCGGATTCCTCGATAAAGATACTGGCAAGTTTTGCAAGGAGCTGTGGTCGCTATGTTTGAGTGCCCAGGAAAACCCACAGGGTGTGCCCAAGGAGTTGCTGGAGGCGAAGAAACTGGAGCTTATCCAAGAGAAGGTGGGATATTTTACGGATGTCCGGGTTGCTGGTCTCGCGCTGACGCCCTCGTTATCACTAGATCGAAGCGGAAAGAGCCGCCGAGGAAGCCCGCAAACAGAAGGAACAGGAGCGCGCGCGAGAGCGAGAACTTGAAGACCTTCGACGCAGAGAACGATCCGAGCGCACAAGGGGAGGAAGAAGAGGCGGTGGCCGCGGTGGTCGAGACTTTGATAGACGTCGGTCGCCTCCCCGACAGCGCAGCCGTGACCGTTTCCGAGGTCCGCCTGGCAGACGAGAGTTCGACTCCTACGTGCCCTCAGGCTCTCGTCGAGGCCGTCGGCCATCCCGTTCGCCCAGCCGCTCTCGCTCTCGCTCCGTCTCTTCCTCGCGCTCACCTCCACCACGTCGGCGCCATCCTGGCAACGACCGGAACCGACGACGTCGGTCAATTAGCGGCTCTGTCTCCCCGGACCGCGGCGATCGCAGGAGGCCCAGGAGACGCAGCCCTGATTACGGTGATCGTGCAAGATCCAATACCCGCAGTGAATCATCACGCTCACGTAGTCCCAGAAGAGACCGACGGAGACGGAGATCAGTTTCTTCCCGCAGTGCATCGCGTTCACCTGTCCCCAGAGACCGACGCAGGAGAAGAGGTTCTTCGGCATCAAGGTCCCGTTCGAGGTCGCAAGGGTCGGATGGTAGCGGCACCAGACGCAGAGGATCATCGCCTTACTCTTCACGAGATAATAAGAAAGAATCCACCGCTGATATTGCAAAGGCCCGCAAGTCCCGTGACGACCGTCGCTTGAGTCGCAGCAGAGAGCGCAATGACACTCGCAGACGCCGGTACTCATCCCAGAGTGTCAGCCGCAGCCGCAGTCGAGGCCGTTCCCGCAGCGCCAGCCAGGATTCCCGCAGTCGGAGTCGGAGTCGCAGCCGTAGTCACAGCCGCATGAGGGATAGGAAGCGGCGTCGGTCCATTGAGAGATATGCCCCAGTTGCACGGAGACGGCGCAACACGTCCTCCGTATCCGTCCCCAGTGATAAACGAAAGAGGATGGCTGATGAAGACGAGGATGCCGCCAAACGATCACCACCGCCGGCTGAGAAGCCAAGCTCGAGCGACCACGAGATGAAGGATGCCACTGAGGTGGGTGAATGATTTCTAAGGGTCCTCTTCACACAAAATCTATGATTTCCTAAGTTCGTTCATTGCCCACGATTCTGCTCCGCCCCTCTCACTGTAAAGACCTTAACTAACCACTAATCGCAGACTGCTGCTTCCCCCAATAACGCAGCCCGTGTACGCATCTCCAGCTCCGAACTACGCGAGAAGCTGCTCCGCGAGAAGATCATCGCGATGCGCCGGACCGCCTCGAGCGACAAGGTAGGTAGCTCTACATCTTCAAGGTAGTTCTCATGTCCTACCGTTCAGGGCACACACAGCTTCACCTACATAAACCACACACCAAAGCCCTACTAAAGAGCGAAGGATTGGAGGATTCCGCAACTCAATATTTAGCGATCTATTCACACGTGGTAATGTCACTATAAACAATAAACAGAAAAGAGAGTTTGCATCCTATGCCTGTCTCAGCAATATCTCCGTCAATAGTCCAACCTCCCCCTGTACCATCATACTTTAATTTATTTTCCTTCAAAGTTCAGACCACGCAATCCCAATTCCGCGGAACGAACAGCAGAGTTTGCTTGGCACATTAATTAGTAGTCTACGTTCCCAAATATCAGTCCGGGGAGGGAACCACT